CAATGCCTCTTCGGATCAATGCTTAAATTATCAGTGCCCATCTCTTTCTATCTGTATGTATATACGCTTGGCATAATCTCGGAAGAGATTAAATAGAATGAGGGATTTCATTTCCTGCTTGTCCGACTCCTGAGGAGACCATATTTCGTAAATCCTGAATACTTTTTATCCGTTTTTTTTTTTTTTTAAAGTTAATAATAATGTTTAATCCCAGAAGGTTGTTAAATTAAAATTTCGGAGTCGAACCGATCGTAGGTTTTAACTGCGTTATTTTAAACTAAGTGAACCATAAAATAAGAGAAAGACGGAAGGAAGACATAAAGACAAGGAAATAACTTTGGCGTTTGCATCTAGTTATTAGATATGGTCACAAAATGAAGTGAATTTTATAGCTTCATACGAGATTATCACATCGTATTATGACGATACTTCAAATTAAAAGCATCGTTTCTTATCGAAATCGGCGATTCATTCGATTGTCATAAACTTAGAGCTTCACCAATCAACGATAATTGAGCAAATATCAATAATAAAATTTACATAAAGATTTACATCCTACAAGCGATATTTATTAAGTTTAACAGAGTCTGGCACAAGGCCATGGTGGTAATATCCCAAAGTAGGATCAATGTCGAGATTAAATTATTTACGGTTGCTCTCCTGAGAAACGTCCATTTTTTTTCTACTTTTTGCTCAGTCTGCACAGTGTCTCAGTAATTATATCCCCAGTGAGGATCGATGTCGAGATTAACTAGTTAACCGTTTTTCCAATGAGAAACGCCCATTTTTCGAAGTTTAGCTGATTATGGCACAACGCCACGGCAGTAATATCCCCAGTGAGGATCGATGCCGGGATTAGCTTTTTAACGGGTACTCTACTGAGAAACGTTTATTTTTCGAAGTTTGGCTAATTATTGCAGAACGCCGCGGTAGTGATGTCCCCAGTGAGGATCGATGCTTATTTTAACTTGTTAACTGTTGCTTCACTGAGAAGAGGCTATTTTTCGAAGTTCGTCTGGTTATGGCACAACGCCACAGTAGAGATATCCCCACTGAGGATCGATGTCGAGATTAGCTTGTAAGCAGTTGTTCCACAAAGAAACGCCCATTTTTCGAAGTTTAGCTAATTATGGCACAACGCCAAGACAGTGATATCCCCAGTGAGGATCGATATCGTGATTAACTTGTTAACGGGTGCTCTACTGAGAAACGCCTAATTTTTTGGCTGAGTTTGGCACAAGGTCAAGGTTATAAACTTCCCAATAACTTCTAATTTTCCTAAATTTATATTAATCTGGCATGAGATCACTTTTATTGAGTCCTCAGTGACTATCACCGTCATTAAATTATTAACAGTTTGAGTGACTAACTTGCAAATAAATTTTCCTCCGGAATACCTCTAAATTTTCCAAGGTTTATATAAACCGGCTTAGGCGAGGATTTTGGGCTCCCAAAGAGGATAGAAGTTATTAAAATCTTAACGTTCTGTGAGTTTAACTTGCTAACACTACTTCCAAGGAAAAATGTCCAAGTTTATTTTAGTCTGGCGCAATGTGACAATTGTTGGGTCCCCAATGAGGATCGGAATAATCAAATTATTAACTTCCTACGAGGCTTACTAAAATTTCTAGTGAGAGAGTGAGAGAGAGAGAAAGAGAGAGAGAGAGAAGAGAAAGAGAGATGTCTTCCCATTGCTTCGACTCATTCGTACATTCTTCGTCCTTTTATCTGTTATAAACGTTTAAAAAAAAGAAGTTTTCTATAGTATGGCGAGACGACCACACTCTACACACTTTCCTTCCAAGTACTGGTGAGACGACCACACTCTGCACAGTTTCCTTCCAAGTAATGATGAGACGACCACACTCTACACACTTTCCTTCCAAGCACGACTATAAACAACGTAAGCGAACGAGAATGTTATTAACTTAGTGTGGATGCGCGACAGTGGGCACGAGTGGTTAGAACATTCGCATTCTGGCGATGAGACCCGGGTTCGAATCTCACGATATGTCAGTAAGGTGGACTTCCTGATGTTATCGGATTTAAGGGGTCGATCCTAGCCAGCGGCACCTTTGGAAAGTGCCTGAAAACCATACCACTGGTTGACTCAAGACTTGTGAGTGAAATTGGGTCATCGTGGCCGAGGGCTTGAACGTGATGGCCTTGTTCAAGTTGTTGCTCACGCTAGTTCCCAGTAATTCTAACTAAGGTCTGTTCAGCATAGTTGCAGTATAAACCACAGGTGGTCTCTGTGGGTGTTGAATAAACAAAAATGCGCCTGAGCGAGCGTCTGCAATATGGATTGGCTAGCCGCCCTAGCAGACAGGTATCCTCGAATGCGAATGGCCAGCTATACACGCGCGACAGGGTTCAAGATCAACCTGTGCTAAGCGGCTTCTCTCTGCGTACATAAGCTCCGTTACCATAGCGACAGTCCCGATACTTTTTCATCAAACTTCGTTTACAGTTTTACAAAATGATACGGCATACATGGGAATAGATAAGTAACTCAATTAATAAAACAGAAAAATAGGAAGAGGTGTGCGACAAGGATGTGTTTTCTCATTGGACTTATTCCGCCCTATAGAGAGACGTGAGCAACGACGAAGTGTCAATGAAAAATTGAAATAAAAAGGACATTTATATTTAGTGTCAGCAATCGACAGTGTAAATTACTTATGCATATAACGTGGAAAGAGGGCTTAGAAAATTTGACACTCGTAGAACATATTGAAGGCAGATGAAAATAGTGAATAACCTCTGGCTATATTCCTGAGATGAGGTATTGTAATTATTTACATTATCGTAATTTCTCGAATATAATACGTATTTTTTTTACTGTAAATTACAAGTGATAGTATGGGTGCGTATTATAAATAGGTTTAAAAAATAATAATAAATACATACTTATCATTCTAAAACAAGAAAGATATCCCAATTTTCATTTTAAATCCAACAATAATAATTGTAACATTTTTTGTCAATAAATTTATGTTTATCAGTAACCGCATTTTATATAAGGCGAAAAAATAAAAAAAAAATCTATAAAAAGGCCAATTTTGAAGAAAAGAGGATATCAAGCTAATAATTTATTGAAATTTAAATTTTCATCATCATCATCATCATCATCACTTTCTGTAATAGAATCAATGTCTAATTTTTTTTTTTTAACAAATAAATTAAAATTTATTGAATCAAAACAATTACAGTTGACCACTGATGACAATTCCAGAACAACGTAACAATAAACAATTTTTTTGCTTTCCTCTGCCAGCCGCAATGAGGGAGAAAGCATTACCTCGAACCATCGCCAGTGAGACACGCTGCAAGAGCCACTCCATTTCACGAGGCTCGTCCCTTAATCGAGACGCAATCGGGTCAATCCTCCGAAGGAACGCCATCGAACGAGGCCCAATAACCCCTGAAGTCTCCACTGCCACAGGAGTAAAAAACAAAACAAAAAAAAACAAATTATCAATTACAATATTATCATCGTCCTGTTCAAAATTATCTTCAACCTCTTCGTTCTCTTGCCTGAGGATGTCATCTTCAGAGCCATCCATGGCTGTCGTGAGACAACACAACTTGAAACCTCTCTTTATAACATCCTCACTCACAGAATCCCAAGATTCCTGAAGCCATTTTACAATAAGTTCCAACTCATGGTAATTTTCAACATTATTATAGCCGCTTAGTTTCAATGTTATTCTTAATGTCAAGGTCGACAAAATTTCTTCGTAATTAATATTATGTTTTTTTTGACAAAATCTATGAATGCGTATTGTACATAGGGTATAGATATATTTCTTAATTTCTTGATCATTTGTTGGGGTGCGTATTATTTTCGAGAATTTATTGTATTTACAAGTTCGGACTGTATTCCGCATCTTTATTGGCCCAGTGGATAAAAGCTTTGGCTGGATCCAGTGACTTGACACAATGAGTGGGGAACTGCAGCGGGAAACAAAATCTTGGAGAGTTGATTTAAAGGGAGATAACTGAGATACCCGGAAGAGCCATGGACATAGAACAATCTACCGCGGTGGACGAAATAAAGGGTTCAGTTCTAAATTCCAAAAACCTGAAGAAGGCCAGAGCGTAAGACGGTCGAAACGTCGTGAATATGGCAATAAATATAAGGAAAACGGTTCGAACAATATTAATAATCTAAATAATTGTGAATAACCAACCTAACGATACCTATAGCTGGCAAAACAGGGTTTAGGAGGGAGAGCAAAAATACAAACCCTATTAAGGGGTACAAAGTATATGAAATTGTGAAGAAACATAATCGCTCACGCCCTAAAGGGAGATGGCTACATCAAAGCAGAATATATTGTTGTTAGAAAAAGGGGACATCCCGACATGTGAATTACGAATTGGGGATGCCAGAATCAAGTGAGTACAAAATCTAAATAACAAAGAGGGTTTTTAATATAGTACGGAAAATGCGACAGCGAAATCCGAAGTCGTATTGGGATATCGAAAGATGCCTTTTTAAAGCTAAGCAAAGTATTAAGAAATAGGACAAATTCGTTAGAACACCCCCCACCCAAAAAAACAAAAGTACTGAGCTACAGTGTAATATCAGTCTTCCAATATGGCAGTAAATGCTGGGCATTTTCATCACAGATTAAGAAGAGACATGAAGCAAAAGAAATGTGGTTCTACAGAAGGATGTTGAGAATAGCATGGACTGAACTTGTGAGAAACGACGAAGCTTTAGTGAAAATGGAAACAAAAAGGACACTTATATTTAATATCAGAAAAAGGGAGTGGAAATTTCTAGGATACATAATGAGGAAAAGGCTTGGCAAATTTGACACACGCATGACTTATCCTTGGGCAAGAGGGGCAGAAGAAAGCAGCACATGACCTGTACTCTGTTTCTATCTCTCCTCTCATTATCTATCTATCTATCTATCTATCTATCTATCTATCTATCTATCTCATTTATTTGATTATCTACCTACCTATCTCAGTTTTTACTATCGCAGTCTGATCTATCTATCTATCTATCTATCTATCTATCTATCTCCTTCTATTCAGATTTGTACTCTCTCTCTCTCTCTCTCTCTCTCTCTCTCTATCTATCTATCTATCTATCTAACTCCGTCTATTCAGATTTGTACTATCTATCTATCTATCTATCTATCTATCTCATTCACTTGATTATCTCTCTACCTATCTCAGATTTATCTATCGCAGTCTATCTATCTATCTATCTATCTATCTATCTATCTATCTATCTATATCCGTTTATATAATGGCTTTTATTTACTCTGATCAACCTCTACTTTACAAAGCCGCACAAATACATTTTCTTTGTTTTCCCCAACCTATTTTTACCTGCCAACCTTTTCTCCGTTCTTTCCCAGAGTATGGCGGCCAAATCCCAGATTCTACAATGCAATATTTGCTCTTTCTTGAGAACACTGACATGACACGCTCTTGTCCGACGAGACGAGAAAGATTCTCTTCTTAACTGACCGTGACGTTAACTTGTCATCCACACGATTAGTGATCATACGATTTACTGAGGCCAACAGAATGGCGCCGGCAGAAGTCTTGTTAGAAAATCAGTCTACAATTTATCTATTGTTCTTCGCTAGACTTCATAGACGAGGTCAGTAGCCAGACCAAGCAAAACACGGCGTTGTTTCTGTAGCAAAATCACTTATTTACGTTGTGCAATATATACAATATTTACTAGTGAAATCGAAGGTGTGGCTTTAATCGAGTTAAATTTGGAGGGGAAAAAAAGCAAGCGATTATTTAGTTGGAGTGAATAAAACATTTTGTATAATGACGTTGCAAATCTGAAAAGTACACAGTTATTTTTTATATATTTTTTTATCTTAAATAAATGAACAGAAGCAGACGACAGTAGGTAAATTTTTGGCGGGCTTTTATCACTTGTGTACAAAGCAATGTAAAACATCTTTATAAATCTACCATTTGTCCGTGTAGTGAATAATGTTACCGTATCTGATCTGGTGTTTCTGCTGTATATCTTGAGATTCTTGACAAAATTCTGTTAGGGATGCGCAGAATGAACTAAGATTTTTTTGCTATGGTGTTAGAATATATCAGAAGGAATTTTTGTCAGGTTGCGTGATCTTTTGCATCCACAGCAATAAATAATACTTAACATAAAACAAGGCAAAACATGCATGCAATTCAAACAAACAAATGCATTTATATACAATACAAATATTATATACAAAATATTATTACAAGATATTATTGTGTTGTTATGTTTGTTAGTGGATGAAGATTTTGTTTGTTTTTTGGTGTCTTGGTGTATTTGTATTACAGTCTATAAGAATTCGTAATTAGTGCTTAAACACCGTTATTATGTTCGTATTGTTTTTTTTGTATTGTTTAGAATTGAGTCATTCAGAAGTAATCTACTCTTAACTGTAAGTATGAAATATGTTCAATAATAGTATTTACTTAAATTGTAGTGAGCATTAATAATTCACTTTGGATAAGTAAAAGTCTTGCCTTCGTTGAAGTTCTTTGTATTCACAGAATAATCTTCGAGTCGAGGGGTGGGTGAGTCCCTTGTGTTTTTTTCGACGTTTAAAATTATAATCGCAAGTTACGTGGAATAGATTAGCGTTTCTCTGTGTTCGCTGGACTGACTGATTTTTTCGTAGATGATCAAAGAGAATGTATAGTTTGAGATTCTTGAATGACGAAGAAGTTTGTAGAAGATATTGAACAGGAAAGATTTGATGTCACGATTCGTCGAGACGGGAGTAGTAGTCGTCACATTTTTAAGCTTGAGTGAGCGGTCGAAAAAATGATCTGCTGCTGATCTGCCCAGGTCTGCATCTGCGTGTCACACGTGCTTTGTTTTTTTTTTTTTTTTTTTAAAGAGGTCATGATCACGTGGGTGGTTCCCAAACTATTTTGCGCCAAAACTTCGAAGTGCACGTGCGGGCGACCTGATTGGTAGAAATGAACCAATCAGAGGGCTAGATTTACGAATGAAAGTTGGAATAGTGCATTACTCGAAGAAGGTAAGATTGGGCTAATAGACGAGCCCAATAATTCAAAGAAGGATTTTTAATAGAATCGATCCTGACTCGGCATCTTGACTTCAGTCACTTTCTCACCAACGTCATGTTGCTTATCTCCCTCTACAAATCTTTTCATGGTAACTGCTCTGACGAGCTTTATCTCTGGTGCATCGACTACATGAATTAAAGCGTGCTACTAGATTGGCACTTAGGTCTCACAGTGTTTTTTTTTTTTTTTTTTTGTTGAACTAGCAAGATGTAAAGGTCACTTCTATTCAAAAATTTCTATTCTCACACTTCTCACCTGTGGAACTCCTTTCAATTTTTGATTCCTTGTCGCCTACAATCTTCAAAAATATAAATGCTACATCAGTCACCATCTCCTGTCTCCCTAAACCCTGTTCATTTATTGTCCGTTCTTATTTTCTCTTTACCAAAGTCTTCTTTCACTCCGTGTAACCTCCTGCGTCTTAGTGACATTATCGCCTCGTTTGAGACGAAACTGTGGACTCTTCCACAACAAGCTAGTTAACCCCTGCTAGGAAATGCACTATTCCTGTTATAATTTTCACCATCACGATCTTATAAAATATATAACAAGCATTCATTGGTTAATCATCTTCAATCTAGCTCGCTGATTGGTCAGTTCCGACCAATCAGATTCTGACAAATCTGTTTTACCGCGTTTTCCATCTGAGCCAGTCACGTGATTCACGATGATATATAAACAGAACACATGTAAACTCTCTCGTGTTTCTTTTCATTCATCTCTCTCTCTCTCTCGCGTCTCATTCCTTGCTACCAAGTACCAAGATGTAATCCTCAAGAACTCCCGTCTTAACTAATGCAGTCAGACGTTAAAAACCATTACCAACATTCACGCAAGTACGAACTCTGAAATCTCTTCTGAACTTTTACCAACTTGTACAATTCACAATTCCAAACATGCTAAAGAAACTTTATTCTTCTAAACTACAGTTTAATAATTACTTTCACTTTATGAACTTAGGTACAAATATTACCAAATCTAAGCGACACAACTCTGTTTAAACTTTTCACTTAGTATTCATGAATGTATATCAAATATTAATAAATTCAATTGTTATGTTTTGAAACAAGATGTTTATGAATCATTATTCTCTATCTTGTATTAATTGTTGTGGATGGAAGATTATTGAACACACACAATTTTAAGCCTTCTGATAATTGAAACCTTCTATTCCTTTCCAACACACATCACACACATCCGCAACAAGACGATTTATAAAAAATATCTATTAATCGGAAAAAATAGTGTGGGTGTTTGTAGATACCTGTCAATCTAGAGAGATCCTGTTGTTTACCAAGATGGCTAGGTAATCCCTCTTGTAGAATTCTGCTCAGGCATATTTTGCGTTTCTTGAACACCCAGAAAGACGACTCCCTGGATTACACAGCGATTAAGCGAATCTTATTTACAGTTTCTTGAAAAAGCGCGTATAAGCTACAATGATGCCAATACACTCAAACCTTCGGCCATGATGACTTGTGACTTCACGCCAGCACACCAAACGGATTTCAAACAATTCTGTACTGTTAATTACATTCATAAGGATTGAATCTAAATATGGTTTTCAGTCACTTTCCAATGATGCCAAATTTCAGCTAAAATTGTCCAGGAACGCAAAGCACAAAGGGTTAATTGTTTGTCATATGTAAAATATAAAAAAAAAAACGCCGACATTCTTGAAGTAGTTCTTAAGTTTTGCTTTTTATTATTGCATTCTTACGTTTAAAAAAGAACAAAATAAATTATTTTTTAATCGGTGTAACGCAAAACCTGTTTTTTTTTTTTCGAAAAATATTTCTGAGAAATGAATAAGGGCTATATCATTTTACTTCCAAGAATTCCATTAGTTCCATCAGACACAGGAATCCTCTTCGAATTTCGAAGGCTCCAGTTTCCATGGAGGCTTGTTTTGCTATGTCTGTCCATGAAGCGCAAAGACAAACCCTTAAGGAAATTGGAATTAACCTCTTCGCCTCCATGCTTTTCATATGGACATTTTGAAGTGCAAAAAGACTAAGCATATTTAATCGAAATTATCAGACATGCAATGTAGTTTATCCAGAAGCCTTTTTGGATTAATCACAGACTTTAAATATCTTGACAGTATTAGTTCACAAACTGCATAGAGGAAATTGTCATGTTTACAAAGAATGTTTCCTATGCTGTACACGAGGTTGTAGATCTGGATAATAAATTATTTTTACTTTGATAAAGAATTTGGTACAATTAATTTTTGCTTGGTCATGGACCAGGTACTTCTGCTATGCCATGTTTACCTAAAAAAAATAATCATAATATAAAATTAAAATGAAAAAAAATCAATGAAAAATATATACATATCAAGGATAAAAATAATTAAACTTTGATTATTATATGTAACAGAAATATCCGCTCTCTGATACTACTCTGTTTCTCCTTTCCCTCTTTCATTCTCTTTCACCTCCTCTTTCATCCTTTCTGA